TACATGCATGCCTGCTAAGTCACCTCAGTTGTGTCCTACTCTTTGTGACCCCATGGACTGTAGCCCACCAGGCTCCTCTGTCCATGGGATTCTCCAGGCAAGAATACTGGAGTGGGTGGCCATGCCCTCCTCCAGAGGATCCTCCTGACCCAGGGATCAAACCCGCATCTGTTATGGTCTCCTGTATTGGCAGGCAGATTCTTTACCACTAGCACCACCTGGGAAGCCCAAGATATCTTACACCCAGGCACAAAATGCATTCGAAATACCACTTAGCCTGAATCCTAAGCTCTCCTGGATACACAATGTGGTACATCTTTGGACTGTGTGACTCCTTTGATTTTCAAAAATTTCATCACAAGCTATGTGATTTACAATGAACAATGCTTGTGTCAAGTCAGATAATACCATTTAGATCTAACACTCAGTTATGACAGTGAAGACAGAGATCCAAGACTGACTCGTATGATACAGAACACAGTTCCCTGGGGAAGGAGCACCTGCCACATGCCAAGTGTGGTGCCAGACGCAGCATCTTATCTAGAGTATGAACTCTGGCATTTAAAACTGCATTCTTATTACATAACAGTTACCTGTCTCCCACTGACTGGCTGTGTGTGTTTAGTCCAGTTTCTTACCTTCCTCAGCTTCCTCCCTGTGAAAATGAAGAGGTGACTGTCCCAAACTCACGGATGGATGATATATTAATACATACAAAGTGGCTAAAACAGGGGTGGACGCAGAGTGAACGGTCAACTCAGGTCGGCTCTTACATTGCATCATTGGAACAGAGAGATGTAAGGAAATAGAAAAGTGTCAACACTGGGATTTTCCTAGGAATGATTTTTAACCTACACATACAGTGAGTCTCCCACATATGAATGCGTTCCATTCTGAGAGTGCATTTGTAAGTCCGATTTGTTCATAAATCCAACAAAGTCAGCTTGGGCACCCAACTAACACACTTGGCTATGTATACTGCTATACTGTAATACGTTTGCAATACTTTTCACATAACTAATACATAAAGACAAACAGCAGAAAAAATAAAGCATTTTTAATCTCACAGGACAGTACCTTGAAAAGCACAGCAGTCCAGCACAACGGCACTCAGGGCCCGGCCTCTGGTGACTGACTGGGAGGAGGGGAGGTGGGAGGTGGGAGGTGGTGGAGCCGAAGGATGGTCAGCGATGGCAGACGGAGGGCCAGCTGCAGGGTCTCTCACGCCTGGCGCTGATGGGTGCACGTGCTGTGGTCCACGGGGAGTTGAACACGACTGAGAGATTGAACCACAGCAATAGGAGGTACCACTGTGTCGCTTCCAGTAATGACAGGCCAGCCACACTTCCATGACTTCAGAGCTATTCCTCCCACGGTTGGCCCACTGGCATGCAGTGATGGGGAGTAAACAATTATTTTACTTTTCTCTATGCTAAATGCAACTTTTCTTTCAAAATATCCTGTTGGTTATTCTCAACATCTATTGAGAATTATAAAATGTTCTAGGCTTTGAATAGGACCTGTGCATCATTATTCTAAACAGTGGCCTAATATGCTTATTATCTCACTAGGAAAAAGCAGGGTATCTCCCAGAGGTCTTTAGAACTGTTTTGTTTTTGTTTTTTTTATTTTAAAAAGGATCATCTGCTGTGCAGGGAGTGCATGAGGCTTTTTAATCTAAAGTCAGATCCATCTGCTGACAAATGGTCTTAAGAGTCAAACCAAACCCTAGGAGTAGCCAACACGTTCTTCAACAAACAATACCCTTAAGTAGACGATCTGACCCCCCTTCAGGCTTCCCATGTGTCTAGGCAGGTAAAGAATCTGCCTGCAATGCAGGAGACCTGGGTTCATCCCTGGGTCGGGAAGAGCCCCTGGAGGAGGGCGTGGCAACCCCCTCCAGTCTTCTTGCCTGGAGAATCCCCATGGACAGAGGAGCCTGGCGGGCTACAGTCCATGGGGTCACAAAGAATCCAACTCAACTGAGCGACTAACACATGTCTCACCCCCAATGTAATTAAGTGTTATGTTTCATTCAGTTCTTCACAGTCCTTAGTGGATATATGAATATCCTTTTCTAAGAGCTTAACCGGATTCAAAAATCAGACCAATGAGACTCTGCAATCTAAACACAATTATCGTCAGTACCACAGTAAAAAAGGCTCATGTGAACACAACATTTTTTTTTAATCCACACACAGGCATGGCACATTACTCTACATATTACTGTATTTACACGTCTGTCCCAATAACTAATACCCTTCAAAGCTGCCACCTCAGAAAGCCAGTCTGATCCCCATGACCCTGCCACTGACAGTAACCTGGGAACATCCTGACCAGGGTCAGTCTGGGACCATAGATGAAAACCAATCACAAAATTTCATGACCATTTTTTAACTCTACGTAAAAGAAACTTTTGAACTGTGGTGTTGGATGAGACTCTTGACAGTCCCTTGGACTGCAAGGAGATCCAACCAGTCCACCCTAAAGGAAATCAGTCCTGAATATTCACTGGAAGGACTGATACTGAAGGTGAAACTCTAGTACTTTGGACACCTGATGTGAAGAACTGACTCATTGAAAAAGACCCTGATGCTGGGAAAAACTGAAGGCAGGAGAAGGGGACCACAGAGGATGAGATGGTTAGATGGCATCACCGACTCAATGGACATGAGTTTGAGTAAACTTCCGGAGTTGGTGATGGACAGGGAGGCCTGGCGTGCTGCAGTCCATGTGGTTGCAAAGAGTCAGACACGACTGAGCGACTGAACTGAACTGAACTGAAAAGTATCTAGACTGATGAACCATGGTATTCTCCATACTTGCCTCTGCATGATTAGATCTACACACAAATCTCATATTATGTACTTGATACACGCACCATACATATACCACAAATACACACTCACACACACCACACACACACATGCTGGACACACACACACGGGCACTCACACGTGTTCCCCTAAATGTCTATGACTTAATGGCATCATCAAACATTTTCAAAAAATGTGGTGAAGGTGTTCAAACACTTCCAGATACGTCTGGAACAAGAACACCCTTCATCGAACGAGCCTCTGACTTCACAGGGGCTGCTCTGGATGGATACACTTTTAAAAAATTAATTAATTTATCTTAATTGGAGGCTAATTACTTTACAATATTGTAGTGGTTTTGCCATACGTTGACATGAATCAGCTGTGGGTGTACATGTGTCCCCCATCCCGATCCCCCCTCCCACCTCCCTCCCCATCCAGTCCCTCTGGGTCATCCCAGTGCACCGGCCCCGAGCACCCTGTCTCATGCATCAAACCTGGACTGGCGATCTGTTTCACGTATGGAAATATACATGTTTCAATGCCATTCTCCCAAATCATCCCACCCTCTCCCTCTCCCAGAGAGTCCAAAAGACTGTTCTTTACATCTGTGTCTCTTTTGCTGTCTCGCATATAGGGTCATCATTACCATCTTTCTAAATTGGATGATACATTTTATCACGACAGCTCCGAAGTCACAACTGAACAATACATGTGAGAAGACTGTGTACCGTTCAGTTAATGAAGATGTTGGGACCTGAGGTTCACAGGAACCGGCCCTCTGCTCCCACCAGGAGCCAGGGTTCAGTATTCTTGGCGACTTCACAGGACAGAAGCACCACGGACATGAGATGAGGCTGTGTCCAGGGCTCATCAGGGTACTGCGGTCCGTCTTCCTCTTTACCTGAAGCTGAGTGGGAGTGCCCCTGCACCCCAGCCGTCTCTACCCCAAGATCAGAACACTCTCACGTCCAACTTAATTCTGGACCTCGTCCACACCATTTCCTAGTCAGTACTTTGCTGGCTGTGGGAAGGGACATTTCCTTCTTTCCTCAACCCAGCCTACACATCCCACTGTGACTCTGAAGCACACGTCATTACTGAGAGGCTTCAGGGACACGGACATCAGCTAGAACCAAACTGGAAGGATCTGAGTGACCCTAGGAAAACAATCGGTTCGCAGTTCTGAGTCAAAGCTGTCTTGTTTCTAAAATGGAAATAGTAACTGCCCACAGGGTTTTGGTCTGTGTTTCTAAGATAATGCCCGTAGGTTTGGGGGAAAAACATGATCAACAATAGGTTATCAACAGGAAGTGGTCAGCTTATACCTCCGTGCGTGTTGCATGTGTGTTAGTTGCTTACTCTTTGCGACCCCAGGGACTGCAGCCCGCCAGGCTCCTCTGTCCATGGGGATTCTCCAGGCAAGAATACTGCAGTGGGTTGCCATGCCCTCCTCCAGGGGCTCTCCCTGACCCAGCGATTGCACCTGAGTTTCCCATGTCTCCTGCGTTGGCAGGAGGGTTCTACACCACGAGCACCACCTGGGGAGCCCTCTGTGCTCAGTCATGTCCAACTCTTTGTGACTGTCTCCCGGCAGACTCCTCTGTCCATGGGATTCTCCAGGCAAGAATACTGGAGTGGGTTGCCATGCCCTTTTCTAGGTGACCGTCCCACCTAGGGATTGAATCCGCGTCTCCTGCATCGCAGGCAGATTCTTTACCATCTGAGCCACCAGGTAAGCTCCTATTTGTCCATTCTGGGATAAACAGAGTCGTCCTAGACACCAGCAGAGTCTGACAAATCTCAACTATCAGAGCTACAGGAGAAGTGTCTGGATTCTTGGGCGTTCTCACACCAAGCTTTGAATTCAGAGCCATTAGCTGTGGCCAGCATGGACGGGGATGGGGAGATGGTGAGGGTGAAGGGCTGTGATCACACACTGAGTCCTTCATAAGAGGCAGGGGGCAGCCTAAGTGGCTTGGTCATTCTGAACAATCTAACACTGACTACGAACGAGCAGTCAGCTTACAGTGTGATGAGTCCCCAGACAACTGACTTAGGGCAGAAAGGCCCACATCAACAGGCCTCCTAGAAAATAAACCAAGTATTCGCCCATGTGAGAACCACAGAAGCACGTGACCTCTGAGATGTCCACGTCTGGAGACAGAGCTGCTAGGCTTGGCCATGAGTATGCAGCTGGGGCAGATGTTCCCAGGAAAGGTCAAGGGAGCTGAAGACCTGCAGGAGAGAGGTCAGCGTCTACCTCTGTCTCTGACCTCAAACTTGGTGGCTCCGATGGTAAAGAATCTGCCTGCAGTATGGGAGACCTGGGTTCGATGCCTGGGTCAGGAAGATCCCCTGCAGAAGGGAATGGCAACTCACTGCAGTATTCTTGTCTGGAGACTCGACTGAGTGATTGACACTTTCACACACACACGGATGATCATGTTTGCCAGAAATGTGGTTCAGTGGCCTGGGACTATGCTAATGCACATAACAGTGATGGAGATGGAGTATCATGTATTTGAAAAGGTCACTTTTTGTTGAAAAAAATTACTCCTAACATTTTGAAATAAAATACAAAAAAAGTTCTTTATGACAGTCTCTAGGTCCATCCACGTCTCAATAGTCCATCATATATATGTACCACATCTGGAGTGAAGTAAGTCAAAGAGAAAAACAAATATCATGTATTAACACACATATGTGGAATCTGAAAAAATGGTATAGACGATCTTATTTACAAAGCAGAAATAAGAGATGCAGAGGTAGAGAACAAATGAATGGACACCAAAGGGGGAAAGGGATGTGGGATGGATTGGGAGATCGGGACTGACATATATAAATATATATATATATATATATATATATATATATATACTGTTGATACTATGGATAAAATAGATAACGCATGAGAACCTACTCTACAGCCCATGGAACTCTATGCTCTGCGGTGACCTAAATGGGAAGGAAATATAAAACAAGAGTGGATCTGTGTTCACTTTGCTATACAGTGGAAACTCACACAACTCTGCAGAACAACTATACTCCCAAACATTTTAAAAAAACAAAAATGAATTGTCAAAAAATATAAGAAAAGCAGTGACTTCAGAACTCGCTTGTTGTTGCTATTTAGTCACTAAGTCGTGTCCAACTCTTTGTGACCCCGTGGACTGTAGCTCGCCAGGCTCCTCTGTTCATGGGATTTCCCAGGCAAGAATACTGGAGAGGGTTGCCATTTCCTTCTCCATCAGAACTCACTAGGTTTAAAATTAGAGTCATGGTTTGTCAGAGCCAGCTCTGGAATCTAAAGTACAGGTAGGTGCTGAGATGCTTTTACAATGAAGGTAAGTGAAAATTCCGGACAGACCCAGATTTTAGAAACGAGTGTCTGAGGGCAGGCAAAGAAAATCTTAGTTGGCATGTCTGCATCTGACTCATTGAAGACTTAAACCATCTTCTTATGTGCACAGGAGAATCCCAGCTCACTACACACTGCAGTTCAGGGCTTCAGGCTTCTGGGCATCGAGAGGGCAAGGCCTTCGCTTGGCTGCAGGCTGGCGCTGTCCGCGGCCGCGCAGATGGTCAAGGGCTGAGCAGATGCATCTCCACTCGCAGAGCAGCTGCCCACACACGAGACCAGCTCTGCTTGGACGCGGCTCCTGCCGTGGAGAGCTGGCTGCCCTGCTTGGGTGTGATCTTACTGGTGCTAGATTGGAACAGAGGTTCCGGTCTGAAGAACTGGAGAGTTCCACGGAAACGCTGATCAGAACTTGGGAACCTGGCAATGAGGCTTCCATCTCACAAACAGGACTTTGGATGGAGGGAAGGGCCAGGGCCAGGAATGCAGGATTCTGTGGCTAGAGAGATCCTGGGAGATCATAAAGCAGCCTGTGCTATCCCTGCTAGGATCCTGAGTTCTCAGGGCTTTGGGGCATCAGAAGGGAACCAGCGCCTTGACTGAGATGCTTTCCAACATCATGTGCCTCCCTGCTCACCCCTAAAAACCCTCTAGTTATCCAGTGTCCTCACTTTCTGAAATAGCAGGAATAAAGGCAGGGAGAGGCATTCATAGACAAACGCCTGGAATCATTCCATGGGGAGTGCCGTGTTTCTCCTGATGTTGGTGCTGCTATAACGATGTTTTTCTACTTGTGACAACCTGACTCTACGGTCCTGGTTGTATCTTGAGAGAAATCCTTCTGAAGACCCCTCCCTCTCCCCCCAGTCTCTTCTACATAAAAAAGCCCAGAGTTTATACTTTACTTTTAAATTGCAGTTTAAAACATACTGCTCATCAATGAAAGTGGGTGTAATCACAGATCCCACGAAAGGTGAAGATAATAATTTTTTCTCTGTTCTTTTTATAATCTTCTGTAATGAAATGCATTTTTATACAGATCATTATCCACCACTAAGACTGTATTTTGCTTCCATATAAAAGATGCACTGCCCTTGGGTATGGATAAATGGCCACTTGGCAATTGTAAAGTTAATGGTCATCACAGCGGGGGGTGATCTTCTTAGGTGGCTCAGTGGTAAAGAATCCACCTGCCAAGGAAGGAGACACAGGAGATGCTGGTTTGACCCCTGGGTTGGGAAGATCCCCTGGAGAAGGAAATGGCAACCCACTCCACTATTCTCGCCTGTAAAATTCCATGGACAGAGGAGCCTGGTGGGTTACAAAAGAACTGGCCATGACTGAGGGATGGAGCAGATGCGCGTCGTAAGGGGCAGAGCGGGCCTTGCCCAGCTGCACGGCCTGGCAGACACACAAGCTGCGTCCCGTCATTAACCGCTGCTGGTGTGTGGGCGGCGGGGGGCTCCGCTGGCTGTGGTCCTCCTCCTGCAGCTGTTCCCCAGACGTCTGGAGCCCCCTTTCTCTGCTCTGCGTCCTTCACTCTGTTGTTGAACATCACACAGCTAGTGGCAGAGAGGCGGAGCTGAACACGGAGGACCCTCCAGTCCTGGGAATTTCAAGTCACCGTGACTCAAAACAGTACAGATGAAAAGATCCTCGGGACAAAGGATGAGACAGAGAAACAGCACCAGACCTCTGCTGTGTCCACTGATCGGTGGAACTCCTCTATATCCGAGAAAAGTGAGGTTGTACACAGGCAAGGTCCTCGGGGAGAGGACTGGTCACACAGCCTCAGGGGGGAACACTGTCTAAAGGGTTGTTGAGCTCATCACCTCACACTGGGGTCAGAATGTTCATCATCGAAAAGACCAGAAACTATAAACGCTGGAGAGGATGTGCAGAAAAGGGAATGTCCTTGCACTATTGGTGGGAACGTGAATTGGTGCAGCCACTATGGAGAGCAGTGTGGAGAGTCCTTAAAAACTAACAGTAGATTTACCAAAGATCCTGCAAGCCCACCTCTGGGCATATATCCAGGGAAAACCATTATCCCTTTGGGCACAGCAGCGCTATGTATAATAGCCACGGCATGGAAGCAACCTAAGTGTCCATCACCGGAGAAACATAAATAAGATGTGGTATACATATATATACACAACAGAATATTACTCAGCTGTAAAAATGAATGAAATAGTGCCATTTGCAGTAACATGGATGGACCTAGACATTATCATACTAAGTGAGTTAAGTCAGACAGAGAAAGACAACTATCGTGTGTATCACTCATACAACAACAAATCACTCCTGTGTGGAATCTACATTTAAAGAAAGAGATACAGATGAACGTATTCACAAAACAGGAACAGACTTACAGACATGGAAGACACACTTATGGCTACCAAAGGGGAAATGTGGTGGGGAAGGATAAATCAAGAGTTTGGGATTGACACATACATAGGTCTGTTGTAGGTCTGGTGAGGTCTTTACAACCTCCAGACATTCTTTGGATTCATTGGAGAGTATATAACTCCATTGCTAATACTAGCAAAGGGGTACTCTTTTGCCCCCTTCTGATGCCTATGTCAGAAGCTTTCTCTATCTCCCTTATACTTTAATAAAACTTTATTACACACACACACACAAAAAAGAGTTTGGGATTGACACATACATACTGCTATATGCAAAATAGATAACCAACAAGGACCTACTTACAGTATAGCACTGGGACCTCTACTCAATATTCTATGATAAGCTATGTGAGAAAAGGATCTAAAAAGGAATGAATACATATATAACTGAATCACTTTGTTGTACACCAGGAACTAACACAAGATTGTAAATAAACTATACTCCAATAAATTAAAAAAAATTTTTTTTAATTTTAAAAATTAAAAAAAAAAATCTTTTTTTTCCTTTTTTTTTTTTTAAAGAATAGCCCTCCACAAAAAGAAGAGAAGGGTGCATTTTCTTGGGAGCATGTGACACTTCAGGTTTGGGGAGAGAGGTCCTGCAAAGCAGAGGTCCTGGGGGCTCCAGGGACAGAAATCTCCACAGACCTGAAGGCAGGTGGGTCTCAGGACCAGGTGTGGGGCCAGCAGAGACTTGTGATGGGAACAGCTTGGGTGCAGTATCGGGACACCACGGCAACATCGACTAGTTCCTCATTCTTTACCAACAGGGGTCCAGGGGAGGTCACTCTTAAGGTCACTTCTCACCCCTCTGCAGCGCTTTCTCTCACCCTCTTGCCTGAGCGCTTTGTTATTTTTCTAGTTTTTTTTTTTTTCTTTTTTTGGGGGGGGGCGTGGACCATTTTTAAAGTCTTTATTGAATTTGTTACAATATTGTTCCTGTTTAATGTTTTCTTTTTTACTATGGGAGGCATGTGGGATCTCTGCTCCCCGACAGGGCATGGAAGCCCCCTCCCACCCCGCATCAGAAGGAGGAGTCTTAACCACTGGACCACCAGGAAGTCCCTCCCTGCACTTTAAACACCTTTGTATGTTTCCCCTCCGTAACACTCCCCATGCCCCCGTCCCCCTGCACTGCTCATGTGCAGTGGGAATTTTGAAATGAACTTCAGTGAAATTCTGGAGATCCCCAAATTTCTCAAGCCCAATTCCAAATAAGGGAAATGTGGCCGAGTGCTCAGCCATGACTCTTTAGGTGAACTAAAGTAGCCAGCGCACTGCTGGGCAGATCACCTCCACGGAGTTTTTACCCAGGCAGCATTCAAAATGCTTCCCCTTGGATTAATGTCCATTTCAATTACGCTAATAAAGTATATGGAACTAAAGCCCCAGCTGTCCCAAAAAGGCCGTAAGGAGTAACGGAGGTGTGTCCTCTGTGGTCCGAGGTAATGCACTAAGGGAAGCATGTTTTTCACTCTGATGAACATTCCACTTAATTAAAAGTAAATATTAGGAGAGAGCCTGTCGAAAACGGACGGACCATGCAGGCCTATTTCAGCAGAGGATAGGGGACACTCGGGTAGAGCTCTAGCTCAGTCCAAGGCCTCTGTGTGCAGTTGGGGACCCGTAGGTGAATCAATCAGCTTCTTCTTGTCCAGAAGCTACTCATCTCTCCAGGGAGAGAGACACCATGTACATCAAGACGCTGGACGTAGAGGATTCTCAAGACCGTCCTACTTCAAACTAGGAAACTCACTATCGAAGGTGGCCCTTCACTATCACCTAAGGGCTGTGGTTACAGACCTTATGCAGAGCATCATGCTTGTGCAGCCCTATAACTAGATAGCATATTAAAAAGCAGAGATATTATGTTGCCAACAAAGGTCCATCCAGTCAAGGCTAGAGTTTTTCTAGTGGTCATGTATGGATGTAAGAGTTGGACTGTGAAGAAAGCTGAGCACCGAAGAATTGATGCTTTTGAACTGTGGTGTTGGAGAAGACACTTGAGAGTCCCTTGGACTGCAAGGAGATTCAACCAGTCTGTCCTAAAGGAGACCAGTCCTGGGTGTTCATTGGAAGGACTGATGTTGAAGCTGAAACTCCAATACTTTGGCCACCTGATGCAAAGAGCTGACTCATTTGAAAAGACCCTGATGCTGGGAGGGATTGGGGGCAGGAGGAGAAGGGGAAGACAGAGGATGAGATGGCTGGATGTCACCACTGACTCGATGGACATGAGTTTGAGTAAACTCTGGGAGTTGGTGATGGACAGGGAGGCCTGGCATGCTGCGATTCATAGGGTTGCAAAGAATCGGACATGACTGAGCGACTGAACTGAACTGGATACCAAGGTCACAGGTGTAAAGCCTTGTGCCAAGGCCAAAGATGTGGAGCCCTGGTACCAGCTATGGGACTGACCAAGCCCCATAGCAACTGTTGCCATGAGCCCCTCTGATCTAAACTGGCCAGCTCCCTAACCACATATTAGGTAAAAATACCCACCCCATAGTACCCTAACCAGTCACCTAATGCCAGTCTTCCAGGGGAGTTTTCTCTGTCTCCAGGCCACTAAACCTGCAAAAGACGTCAGCTCTTCCTTTGCTGGCCTGCTGTCCTAACAGATCTCCCACTCTAACAAACTCTATCCTCCTCTCATTCTGCCTCACGCCTGGAAATTCTTTTCCAGCCTGCGCCCAGGTCACAATGCCCATCTTTCAGGAAATCAAGTCTATGCAGTGATCCCGGACACAGACACGTCCCCAGGCTTCACCGAAGCACACCGTCTGCCTTCAGCTGACTCTGCTCTTAACAGGGAAGGCTGACTTGGCTTTCAGGTCCAACGTCTGAGCCGTTTTCATGTCATTTTATGGGATGGCAGACTGACACCCAGTGCTGGCCCTCGGGCTTTCGCTGGGACCCTCTTATAATTGCCAAGGGAGGGAGGTTCCCTTTTGCAGGGGTGGCTGCGGCACTCGCTGGCCCCAATGAGCCAGCGTG